AAAATTAATGTTATAAAACAGTGAAATAGTAATCCTTTAAAAATATTTTAAGCATAAAAATAAATGATTTTTAATTCAACTACTTACCTATGTTAGAGAAAGAAAAATATATGTGAATATTCTGTCTTTATTATGCCAAACACCAATGGATTTAAGGATATCTAAATCAGAAGATAAATGCTCTTATTCCTCAATGAAATGTTTGCTGTTCTACTATCTGGAGAAAGTGCAATGACTAGATTGCCCCCTTCCCACCCCCACTAAATGGAGAGCTTTATTAAATCTACGGGAATCTGAAATATCTAGATGAAAATTTAAAATTCCAGAAACTGCATGATTAATCTCCACAGTGGCAAACATACAGAATACGTACCAAAATTCAAATATTTAGGATCTTCTTCATAATGATGAGCAACCCCTCATCGAACAATGTCTATCCAGTATTTGTTTTGTTTTATAAGCTACTTTTTTTCCCTAAGTAAAATCTATTTTTGCTTATAAACATAAATATAAATTCATGTTGGTAATCATGCCTAAATTCAAACTATGCATAAAACTCTAAATTTGAAAATAAAAATGAATAATCTAGTCTACAACCTGGAGATTCAAATTCAAAAGGCTTAAGCCAGGAACCTGGGAATCTGTGTTTTTTACAAAGCCGACCCCAACACACACACACACACACACACACACACACACACACACACACACAGAGAGCCAAGATAAGCACCATTGATCTAACCATCTTATGACTAATATTCTCAAATTATAATATGCATTTAAATCATTTGAGAGCCAAGATAAGTACCATTGATCTAACCATCTTATGACTAATATTCTCAAATTATAATATGCATTTAAATCATTTGAGGAGCATTTTAAGAACGATTCTGATTGAGGACTCTGGCTCAGTCCCAGGGTCCTGCATTTCTACAAGCTCCCAGGGGGCGCTGATAATGCTGGTCCAAGGCTCATGATCGGAGGACTTTCTGACAATTTTTTGAAAATATTTAGAGATGAAAACTTTACAACCTTTTCTGACATTGTCTCCCAGAAACTGTCACTCATATGACAAAAAAATATTATACTTAGTTAATTTAAGAGTAATTTCAATTTCAGTTCTTTCCCTCTATAAGAATATTTTTAAAACTATAGGGCAACAGAGGAGTAATAACTTCTAAAGGCTGTTGCATTCAGGTAGGCGCCTTTAGCCAGAAGTTCAAGTTTATATTTGTGCTCATCCCAGACAACAGTTAAGTCAATGTTCTCAGTCAATGTTCTTGAATCGTTATCAGTCAATTTCTGCCCAGGCAGTCTCATGAAGTTCACAATCCCACAGAATGACTCATCTGTTGGTCAGATTTCAACATGCCTAGATGGCCTATTTGTGAACTCAGAGATTCTTACCTCCAAAGAATTCTAGACAAAGAAATGAAGAAATGGCCAACGCTGAATGAAGAAAGTTTTTGTTGTTGTTGTTTTGTTTGGTTTGGTTTTTTAAGGCAAATCTGGAAACAATCCCAGATTATGCATCAGCCCCTTTAATTTAGACTTCAGTTAGGAA